AGCCTGCTTCCTTGTCTTCAGCTTCTTTCCTTTTTCTCAAACCCACCAGTAAGAAACGTCCCGCTGGCCAGGCTTTTGGTGTCACGCTTGTTTGCGTCTGAGCTCGCGTCCTGTGGAGACGTCACTGTACAGCGCCATGAACTAATGACACATGGTATTTCCCTTTGTAGATGGCCTTTGTCTTAGTGAGAGCCAGAGAAACACTCTTGTTCCCTATGCCCGTAGACTCATAGACCAGCTCTGGTGTCTGTTATCTCCTGTGTATCAGGAAATGGTTAGTGCTCCATCGTCCGTGTGTGTGTGTGTGTGTGTGTGTGTGTGTGTGTGTGTGTGTGTGTTTAGATATCTGTATTAGTATACAGCATGAAAGAGGTCATTTCTGGTTGAGACTATCCATGCACAGGAATTAAGCTTTTCACTGTTACTCCCCTGGGAATACCATAGGCCACTCCATCCCATTTCCCCCCTAGAGTTTTGAAGAATGTTTCGCATGTATCTGTGAAAATGTTACCACCCCACCCCATCTCTGCAGATCGCTTTGAAATCTGCGCAGTGCAGCTGACTTTTAATTTCTGATGGAAGAGGTCCATGGAGTTCGACTGCCTGTAGGCCTGGAAAGTGATCAGCAAGTCAAATGATTTTTTTTTAATACTGTGCCATATGCAGTGGGGGAGGGGAGGAGGGGAACCGCCTCCTTGATTTCTTTTTGCCCTCTGTATATCCTTGTGTCCCCTGAGGTCCCAAGGCATGTGCATGTTCAACGCATGGCTGGACGTGTGCCGTTCTGCATGTCGGCGGGACAAAGCCATGCTGGAGAAGGGTTGAGTGATGGGATAATTAGAACCAGGCAACAGCAGGGTGGATGCATAGTCTGTGTGCGCTAGCTTGTTTGCTAATTGCCAGCACCAGATTTTCTGGGCAATTAGATGTTTGGTGTCTTCCAAGACCTTCTGTGCAAATGTGGACACATGGCCTCAGGCCTTCGAGGGAGCAGGTGGACAGCGGGTAGCTCCTGGGTGGACGGCAGCTCTCCTGAGGGTACCCCAGGGGTCGCATATAAAATGGAGCCGCTGGGTCTATTGCCTGCCTGAGCCCTTAGGCGGAGACAGGAATCCCCTAGCTTTTATAGAACAGGGTGCCTTGAGCTTGGGGTGCACAGAGCTGGGGTGTTCTGTGGACTAGCTGAGAAGCTAAGTGTAGCACGAATTCTAATTGTCCTTAATAATAAAAACCCAGAGTCGGATATTAGGAGGTGAAAGCTGAAAAGTCAGAGAACAGAACAGTCAGCCACCCGAGAGTTCTCACCTCTGCCAATGCTTAGACTGAAAGGGGCGGTCCTGTCTCTATGAAACCTCAGACTGCTCTGAGCTCCTGTCTCCTCCTGCCTTATATTCCTCTCTCCACCCAGCCACATCACTCCTGTCTCCACCTTCCTAGTGCTGAAATTAAAGACGTGTGACTTCCAAGTGCTGGGATCATCTTTGTGTGAGCTCTGTTTCTCTCATAGTCAGGTTCAATCTCACGGAGCCCAGGGTGGCCTTGAACTCACAGAGATTCCTCTGCCTCTGTCTCTTGAGTGCTGAGATTAAAGGCATGCCCCGCCACTGCCTGGCCTTTATGGCTAACTAGGATCTTAGCTCTGCATTCTGATCTTCAGGCCAGCTTTATTTGTTAGATCACAAACAAAATATCACTCCAGTCAAGTGTACGTCCCTCTCTTTTCAAGCACCCTGGGATTTGGGAACTAATAGGTACAGGAAATATTGTGTCCTCTGATGACTAAGACGAATTGAGGTTTTGCTTTTAAACAAGGCCTTAAGTAGCCTAGGCTGCCCCAGGTAGCCTGGGGAGGACCTTGAACATCTGATTCTCTGGCCTCTCTACCTTCACAGTGCTGGGATGACAGATTCCAGCCACTCTGTGGTCCTGGGGATCAAACCCAGGATACTGTGCGTGCTAGGCCGGCATCTCCAAGCTGAGGTACATCACCAGCCAAGATGAGTTTTTCATAAATATTGTTGTTATGTTAGAGTATGCATAACACAGAATTTTCCACTGAAACGGTTTTAAAATGTGCAGCCAGTTGAGCAGCATGATTTATACTCAAGACACGATGGCACGGTGTCAGTAATTATTTGCAAAACTTTCCTTGCCCCGTCAAGAACTCGGACTCAGTGAGCAATAACTCCTGGCAACCTTTCATCTACTTCCTGTGCCTTTGGATTCGCCTATTCGGGACAGTTCATACAAGTGAAATTACACCCTGTTCTCCCTTTCATGTCCAGCTTATTCAGTAGTTTCCCTGCCCACTGGTGTTATAGTGTGTATAGGAATGGCCTTCCCTTTGCACGTGGTTGTGATATTGCCAAGGCTACTCCACCGCGTTGACTGATCCACAGTCTGCTGCTCCCCACTCCTCCACTGTTGGGCACATGAGTTTGCTCCTAATGCTTGGTCATTGTGAGTGCCGCTGCAATGGACATTCGCCTACCGCTCGGTATTGTGAGTGCCGCTGCAATGGACATTTGCGTGCTCATCTCTCTGAGTCTGTTTCCAAGTAGTTACATTGCTGGATCATAGCTGACATTTCGAGGAGCCGCCAAACTGTTTTCCACAGCAGCTGCGCCTTTTACACCCTCACCAGCAACACACGAGAGTTCCAATTCTGTACTTGTTTTTCTTTCCTTTTAAAAATTATGTTCCTCCTTGTGGGTGAAGTAGCATCTCATTGATATATATATAAAAAATATTTTTGGTAGACCAGTTGGTTTTAAACTCACAGAAACTCACCTGCCTGTGCTTTGCAGGTGCTTGGCTCAAAGGTGTGTGCCACCACACCTCGCTTTCATGGTAGTTTTGGTCTGCTGGCTACTGAAGCCGGCCATCCTCTCCCACGCTCGCTGAGCCTCCCGGTGAAGAGAAGGGCCATGAGCTCACAGACAGGAGGTGACTTGCAGATTCGAAGCTTCCCATTTGCTTTTTCATGATCCGTTCCACTCCGCAGTCTGTTCGCGAGCCACTGAGATGACGTTGTTTGAATTCCCACCAAATAGAGAGAGAAAAAAAAATATCCTGCAAGAGCCTGGGATTAACACAAAGTGATTTAGCAGATGGAGCTATTCCTCATGCTCCCCCGGAGGGGAGAGCCTTTCCCAGATAAAGCCAACCCACCCACCGCCTACACGGAATTAAGCTGTGCACTAAACTAGCAATGTATTCAGAGTAGCGCCTGGCCCCTGGTACTGGTGGGCCTGCAGCATCTGGTTATTGTTTTTCTGATTGGTTGGCAGCTTCTGGGCTTTGCTCCGTTGCTTTGGGGCCCTGCCAGCCCTGGGCAGTGGGCATGAGGACACTGTGGAGCCTTCAAGCACTGACCAGGGACAGTGTGTCTTGTCGTTGGGGGCCTCTGAGACTGCTCCAGAGCAAATGTCTGTACTTGAAGCGTTGTGATAGAGCCAGGATAACGTGGTATTTATGCTGCTTTGTCATTGTCCTTCTTTGGTTTGACTTAGTGTCCCTGGTGTCTCAGGCCAGGGAAGCTAACCTTTTGGTTGCTACACACCACCCCACAAATGTTGGACACTTTCAGTACCCCTGAAGACACGAATTCTCTGATCTCTAAATTCTTGTAGTAGAAGAAGTGGCAGGTGGTCCATCAGCCATCAAATGCTGCCTCTCAGAGTTGAACTCATGTCCCATATTCTGTGGCCAGGAGTTGTTGACCCTGGGATGGGGGTGTCTCATGCACCTTTCGGAGCCTGAGGACTATAGATGCTCTTCCAGAATACATGAAAATCAGCACGTCTTCTCTGACACTGTTGCAATAATTCCTTCCCTGGAGAGACATAAACAACATCCATTTCCCCTTATAAAAGTCTACAAGTGAGTGACAGGACAGCCAAGGCTACATAGAGAAACCCTGTCTCGAAAATCCAAACCAATAAATAAATAAATAAATAAATAAATAAAAATAAAGTCCCAGTGATGACACAGGATTCCACCAAAGACCAAAGTGGGGAAATGAGTTTATTGGGTTTACTGCACATGGGTGAGAGGTCACTTACAAGAACGTGGGTGACCACAAAGCAGCCACACTAGAAAAATTTTCACCCAGCATGGAGATGATGGCTTCTCTGTAGCCACACCGGAAGATCCCCCAGATCCCCAGCCTGTGTACCCCAGCATTCCCAAGACCCCACGGTCACTGGGATAAGGGCAGAGTGGCATACACATGCTGGGAGGGAAGGCTGGGCTCTCAGGTGAGAGCCCCAATCCCTTGTTCTCTGGGGGAATATTAGTAGCGGACAGGCCCCATTGAGGTGGGCAAACAGCTACAGTTGTATAATGAAGATGACGGCTGCTTTGCTCAGAGGACCACGTTCTACTGCAGAGGATTCAGGTTGTCCCTGTCCACTGTGGGGTCTCCATTACAGGACCACGTTCTACTGCAGAAGATTCAAGTTGCCCTGTCCACTGTGGGGTTTCCATTACAGGACCACATTCTACTGCAGAGGATTCAGGTTGCCCCTGTCCACTCTGGGGTCTCCATTACAGAGCTCCTGCCCTGGAGCTGAGCTCTTCTGGGAATGGAGCAATATCTTCTATTTAACGTCATGTGTGTGTGTGTGTGTGTGTGTACAGAGCTCCTGCCCTGGAGCTGAGCTCTTCTGGGAATGGAGCAATATCTTCTATTTAACGTCATGTGTGTGTGTGTGTGTGTGTGTGCGCGCACATGCACATTCATGACAATGACAGGCCTGGTGGCCACTTAGAGAGAAGGGGAAGGGATATCCAGTTGTTCAAGTTCTAAAGGCCAAGCACAAGGTGTTGGCCTGTGCAGGGACACCCTGTCTTCCTGGCTGGGAGCTCGCCCTATGCAGCACGGTAACAGACTTCCAAGAACCCCTGTGTGGAGAGCAAAGTCACATAGGCCCCCCTTTTCTCCTCCCTGGGTTGACCCATGTCTCTTTTAAGAATCTAATTCTTGTCTTTCCTTTCAGAAACGGCTCCCACATCTGCATATCCCTCTCCGGCCCGGAGTCTTGGGGACACAGGAATCACACCTCTGTCCCCTTCTCATATCTTGGTAAGGAATAAGTGTGCATGCACTTGCGCCTGTGCTGACTGCCTTTGCTTCATCTCTCCCGCTGCAGGCTGCTAGGCCGTCCTTCACGTCCTGTTGTTGGGTGCACATGGATGTGGTGGTAGCATGTGCACTCTGTCAATCAAACCCGTTCCGTACCCTGGGCCTGGAAAGGCTTTCAGTGCTGTGGCTGATGTTTCCAGAGGCACTAGCCTGGGGATAATATGAGCAGACCGAGGGGTCAGCTCTCGAGAGACTGGAGCCTAGAGGTGGCAAGGCAGCTTTCTATAAGGAAGCACCATGTATTGGGGGTGAATCGGTGAACTGCAGTGGCTCTGTCCACGGATGTTCTATCCCTGTCTAGGAATTGTTTCTTTCTCAATTTTCCTTGGAGAGATCTGAGCAGTCTCTGTTCTGGGGGATGGGTTTTTGCCCTCTGCAGTCCTCAAGTACAAGGGAAGATGGGTGGTAGGGGCAGCCCACAGAAGGGCAGCTTAGCACTCGCTGTTGGGATACACGAAGGCCAGTGAGGAGCACATGGGAGCACCATTCACCAGGGGCTGCTGACTTGCTTTGTTTGCCCCAGAGCTCTCTCACTGTAAGCGACTCACACTCAGGAGTCTCAGTATTCTATCTGGGAGACTCCCATAGTTCTGGCCACATCCTGAGTACAGTGGAGGAAGTAGTGACCTGTGGGCCTGGTCCCGTGAGATCCAGACTTTGTACCCTTTGCTCCTTGGGGGAGCACTTGGAGGCAGTGAGGAGGGAGGCCGGTGGTAGTGTCCTCATCCCCAGTTTAGCTAGAGTAACCTGGTCTAAAGTTTGCCCGGGTTTATCACTTGGTGTTCTTCAGGGATTAAAATAAAAGAAAAGGGAAAGTAAGTCTACATTCCTTTAGGGAAAAAAAAAGCTGGGTTACCTGAGGTGGTATGTTCAAGTGGCCTCCCAGATGAGGGAATTTGTGAAGATGAGCCTAGGGCCCTGAGGTCATGTGAGGTCATACGATGGGTTTGTAGAATTGGACGGAGTCACCATGGAGGCCCCTGTGCACATAAAGAAAGCACTGCAGAGATAGAGCAGGCACTGGTGGGTGCTCTGAGTGGCGGCAGGACTTCTGCAGAGGGAGCTGGGGACAGCAACAGTGGGGTGATGGTGTCCACACAAGGAGCCACTCAGTTGGGCTTCTGCCCATGGCAGCATTTCCATGGTTACCACAGTGCACCGCTAAGAAGGAAGGGTTTGTGGGTGGCACCCTCAGACAGTTGGCCTGCACCCCGATTTGGGGGGGTCTCCATCTCTCTTTGGGTCACTCAGGTGGGAGCTGAGGCTGGTCTGCTTGAGCTGGAGTGTTTTACCTGCAGAGAATGCCAAACGGGCAAGGTAGAGGTTTCTTCCAGAAAGGGAGGCCTGGTCCTCACCCGCTAGTGCTTAGCTGTGCCCTTGCAGAACGACGCTGACCCTGACCCTGGTCCTCACCCACTAGTGCCTTTGCTGTGTCCTTGCAGAACGACGCTGACCTTGACCCTGGTCCTCACCCGCTAGTGCTTTGCTGTGCCCTTGCAGAACGATGCTGACCCTGACCCTGGTCCTCACCCGCTAGTGCTTTGCTGTGCCCTTGCAGAATGACGCTGACCCTGACCCTGGTCCTCACCCGCTAGTGCTTTGCTGTGCCCTTGCAGAACGATGCTGACCCTGACCCTGGTCCTCACCTGCTAGTGCCTTTGCTGTGCCCTTGTAGAATGATGTTGACCCTGACCCTGGTCCTCACCCACTAGTGCTTTGCTGTGCCCTTGCAGAACGACGCTGACCCTGACCCTGGTCCTCACCCACTAGTGCCTTTGCTGTGCCCTTGCAGAATGATGCTGACCCAGTCTCGGAAGAGCAGACGTTTCTGGTGGTGGTGGCCATTGACTTTGGGACCACATCCAGCGGCTATGCCTACAGCTTTACCAAGGAGCCAGAATGCATCCATGTGATGAGGTGAGCACCGCACGGCGAGGGCACTGTGTGTCCTGGTCACCCCACCCATGTCCACTTGGTGGTAGGGCCAGTCACTGGTGCTTGAGAAGAACAGCATTCCACAATGTCAAATGTCAAGCAGGCCTCATGGAGCCCCACTTTCTCTCGAAAACCAGAGGTGTTTCAGCCTGAGGCCATTGCCATCAAGAGGTTCCAGGGCCTGGGGAGGTGGCTCAGCGGATAGTGTACTTTCCGTGCAAGTGTGAGGTCGCGAGTTCAGATCCTGGGCACACTGGTGAGGTGTGGAACTCACCGGCCAGCCAGTGTGGTGGGATTGGTGAGTGTCTTGTTCAATAAGACACTCTGTCTCAAAAAACAAGGTGGGGGCAATTAAGAAAAGTCTCAATGTTTACCTCTGGCCTATGTGTGATGTGTGCATGTGCACGCTCGCACACGCATGCACACACACACAGTGGGGGGTATAAATGTATAAAACTTATAGGAATGAAAGCATAAAAGATTGAGTGGAAGACACTCATGGGGTGTCCACTTACAGAAAACTGAGCTACCTAGCCTAGAAGTCACCCCACATCCCCATTCAGTTATGGGGGCACTCAGCCTGTGGCAGAACATGCATCCTGGCTGGGTAGCTGGCCAGGGACAATGCCAGACCCATCTGAGCGGAAGTCCCTCAGGAGGGAGGCACCCATCTGCCCTGTGATGGCCTCTTCATGCTGAAGGCAGTGATACTCACGAGAAAAGGTTGGAACTCAGCCTGGGCCACAGCTGCTCCCTCTTCTGGACTGGACCAGTGTCTGGCACTGAGTCTCCACCTGAGGCTCCCAGATCTGGGCTCAGAAGGGAAGGGGACAATGCAGGCCGTTGGCAGCCCTGGCTTCTAAAAGGCTGGGGCCCCAAAGAGAGAAGAAACACGAGTGACCTGTGCTCCCCACACCATTTCCCTGGCTTTTGTTTATCCTTCTGCCCAGGAGAAGGAAACTTCTCTGGGGTTGACCTGCCCCCACCCCTACTCCATTGCATATCCGTGTCTGTCTCCCTGTGCCCTCCTCTGTCGCCTTCTGAGTCTATAACTGGCCAGTCCCAGATGATTCCTTAGAGTTCCATCCCATCTTGTCACTGTGGCTGTCACTGAGCTATGGGAGCTGTGTCCAGGGCCTTTCCCTCCAGTTAAATGCATGTGCTCTTCTGGGTGCTCCCCACCCTCCTCCCCAGCACTCCAGGTCGCTCTCTGTGCTCCCTTCTCCAAGGTCTCCTGGGCTCCTAGTCACAATGGCCATTGGCCGCCATCTCCCTCTGGTCTTGTTTGGCGTCTACCCCTCCTCCTATGTTTCTCTCAGCGCTGCCCCAGGCTGGGTCTGACCTCTTCACCCCTCCTCCTATGTCTCTCAGCGCTGCCCCAGGCTGGGTCTGACTCCACACTTGCCTTCTGGCTTTCAGTCCTTGAGGTTCAGTTTGTTCTCAACAACACCGTCTCTCGTCCTTTAGGCTTTCAGTGACCCCCATTATTCACAGATGTAACCCAACCCTGCAGGGTTCTCTCCAGTCTGCTGCTGCTTTCCCAGCTCAGTCATCCCCTTCTTATTTACACGGCACCTTTCCTCACGGACCCATATTTTGTCTGACCAGCACCGTCCCTTAGCTGCCTGGGCCAGCTCACCTCAGAGCAGCCTGGAGTGGCCTTCCCTCTCAGATCTAATTGTTAGCTCCTTCCCCATTCTATCCTGACTCCTGTCTCCTGGGCCCCTCCTTTCGCTACTTCTGCCTTCCCTGGCCCCTCAGGACATTTCCCTGAGCTCCTTTGGTCCACCTGGTCAGAAAGGTCCAATGCGTTTTCTCACACCCATCTTATTTAGAAGAGAATTCCAGCCAGCTCTGTCTCAACGGGAGCTGCTGAGTGCTTCCAAATAAAAAACAAAGACCTCGCAGACTTTGAGTTATTGGAAGACTGAAAGATACTCAACACTGCCCCGTGTCGCCAGCATGTGACACATCTTAGCTTCTCAGGAAACAGTGAGTGAAAGAGAACACAGAACTTATTTATTTATTTATTTTTTGGTTTTTTGAGACAGGGTTTCTCTGAGGCTTTGGAGCCTGTCCTGGAACTAGCTCTGTAGACCAGGCTGGTCTCGAACTCACAGAGATCCGCCTGCCTCTGCCTCCCGAGTGCTGGGATTAAAGGCGTGCGCCACCACCGCCCGGCTCACAGAACTTATTTTGAGTAAGAACCCGGTTTTTGCCTCTTTTCATTCTGACTGAGGCATGTCAAGATATTAGCCGATATGGAGTGGGTCACATCAGTGACAGACATACACGGAGCAGGCATTCAGTTCCACTATGCTGACTGGACTGGGGTTCTAAAACACCCGTAACTTCTGCTTTCCCTTGGTAACAGGAGATGGGAGGGAGGTGACCCCGGTGTTTCCAACCAGAAGACCCCGACCACTATCTTGCTGACACCAGAGAGGAAGTTCCACAGCTTTGGGTACGCCGCCAGGGACTTCTACCATGACCTGGACCCCAACGAGGCCAAGCAGTGGCTGTACCTGGAGAAGTTCAAGATGAAACTCCACACCACAGGGGTGAGCCAGCCTCTCTAGGAGAGCAAGGGACCTCAGTGTGCGGGATCTTCAACTGGAGTCCCCCAGGTTTCCCCCAAACGGAAGTTAATGCCTGTCTGCCTGGGTCTTGGAAACCAGCCTGGAGTGAATGACGCCTCGCGTCCTCAGATGTGTGTGAACTCAGTTCTTCCTGGTGTGGGGGAGGGGACAGGAGGTGTTCCTGGGCATTTAGCTGTTTTGTTTAGAAAACTGAGAGGCCAGAGAAGATGCAGCTGTGACATGGGTGTAGGGAGCTACAACCTTGCTGTCCAAGGGGGGTTGGGGAGGTCAGGGACCCTCTTTCCACTAAGACCAACTCATACCTGAAGGCCCAAGACTGGGAGGTGGATCAGGACTGTGGCTATTAACTGGTCAGTTTGGAAGGAACGACCAGTAACATCGGAGGAGAAGCCACCATCTGTGTGTGGAGCAAGAGGACCATAAGTGGACCAGTTATTAGATGCCCAAACGCCAGGACAGTGGCCTCACTTCTGGAACCCCGGGCAGGCCAATGTTCTGTGAGACGCCCAGGTCCAACAGGCATCCCTGCTGCAAAGCTTCATGGGAAAGGTGGGAGCTAGCTGAAGACCACGGACTCTGAGGCACATACCTTGGGTTTCAGTTTCATCCCTGGTTCCTCCAAGACACTTAGTCCGAGCCACGTGACTTTGTTGTACCTCGTTATACTTCCTTTATAAATGCATACAGTTACAGCGTCTTGCTCACAGGGAGAATATAAGGGTTGAGGTGGTAGGCCCACATGAGTCTCCCAGAGGAGGAGCTAACGTTCCTAGGCAAACGTTAGCTTCCGTCAGCATTTGCAGATGGCAGCACAGAGGTGGCAGGAAAGCCAGCACTGCCATCTTGCCCTCCCAAAGCTCTAGGCTTACATGAGGTTGCATTTCTGGGCCATGGACCAGCCTGGGCTAGAAAGGACCCACCCCTTTTCTCCAGGTGGGACGCCATGCTGGTTATCAGGAGTGGGCAGTGGAAGCCCAGGGGGAACTGTAGCTTCACGGGGCTCAGCTGCCTCCCTGAGCCTTTGCTGGACACCAGGAGAAGCGGGTGCTGGCCAAGAGCAGAGAGCATGAGTAGGTGGTTTAGGGTGCACCCAGAAGACCCATTAGTAATGCTTGACCCTATCTAAAACAAAGACAAAGCCTGGTTATCTTCGATTGCATCAGTCTGATGTCCAAGATTTATTTGTTCCTGACACTAATAAGCAGGTTAGTTCAGGGTCCTCCTTCCACTCTCGCCCCAACCTCTCCCCCTCGGGGACCCTGTTCCTTTTTCTGGTGACCTCTCACCATCTGGTGGCCTCTGCACAGCATCCTCTACCCGAAGACCATGGACGGCAGCTGCTTTGGCTTCTGGCAGAGCCAGAGAGGCAGCAGCTATGCCTAGCTTTCAGCAGATTAGACTGAACCGGCCTTAAAATAGGAGCTCGTCTATTTTAGTGACCTGGCTGGCAGCTCACCGGGGAAGGAGAGCTAGCTTCCTGCTTGGCAGCGAAGTGGCATTGATTTAAGCTGCTATCACAGGGCTCCTGGGTGGGTGTGGGGGAGGACTGGTGTCTGGAAGTCGCACCTGCGACCCATCCGTTCTTCCCGTGTCCTGCAATTGTCCAGAGATGCCTGCTCCTGAGGATCCAACAAAGGGAGAGGGAAAGGAAGGGAAGAAAGGAGGTGCAATGAAGGTGGGGCCTGGAGAGAACAGCCAAGAGCTCTTAGACAGTAGGGTGGCCTTACTGCCAGGTGCCTCTGGGGTGCAGGTAAGGTGGCATTACTGACAGGTGCCTCTGGGGGCGCACTATTGCATCTGCCTTTCTATCATAGGGGACTGGATTCCGCTGGTCTCCAAACACCTGCTCCCTGCTCCCCCAACCAAAGGTGTGGTTCTCCTTCACCTTTTCCGTTGTCACGTGTCTCTCTCTCTCCCTTCAGGACCTCACTATGGACACAGACCTGACAGCCGCAAATGGCAAGAAAGTCAAAGCCCTTGAAATCTTCACGTACGCCCTGCAATACTTTAAGGAGCAGGCCCTGAAGGTGAGGCTGAGGGGTGGTGGCAGTGAACCTCCTGTGAGGCCATCTGTGGTTGCTGGACCCGCCGTCTGCAGGAAGATGTGGGCCCTGGGGTCAGAGCACTAGAATGTGTCCTCCGGCACTGCTGGCCAGGAGGGAAGATGGTTCGGCATTTTGGAACCAATTTGGAAGTTCCTGAAAAAGTTAAACACAGACATCACCCAGCAATCCCACTATAAGGCACACACATAAGGGAAATGAAAACATGCGCACATAAAACTGTTTCATGAAAGTTCATAGCAGCATTATTCATAATAACTAAAAAGCAGAAGAACTCAAATGTCCATCAGCTGATGGACAACCGAGTGTGTCTATCTGCTCACTTTAATGTTACTCAAGTGTAAAGGGAATGAAATACTGGTGCTTGTTGCAGTGTGGATAACCTCTGAGAAACCTCTGAGCTTGCAAAATAAAAGAAACAATGTATAAAAGTCACTTCACACAATTCCATTTGTATGAAATGTTCGTAACAGGTAAGTCCACAGAGACAGCCGTTTTCAGGTTGCTGGGGACAAGGAAGGAGATAAATGAGAGAGCCAGGCTCACCCTGCTGTGTGCGGGACACTAGACACAGACTCTTCCGGAGTCCTGCTAACCTCCTGACTGCTCTGCAGAGCCCCAGGAGGTGAGACCCGGGGAATCAGAAGTGCCCCCCCCCCACTACATTTACACATTCACTCTTCTTGGTGTTAGGAGCTGAGTGACCAGGCGGGGTCGGACTTTGAGAACTCTGATGTCAGATGGGTCATCACCGTGCCTGCCATCTGGAAGCAGCCAGCCAAGCAGTTCATGAGAGAAGCTGCCTACCAGGTGAGGGACACTGGGATGGGGTGGGGCGGGTCGAGAAAAGGGAGCTGGGATGCCCACAGTGGTGCTTGGGTATCTCCCAGAACTTGCCAGCTTCCTAGGAGGATGGGAAGGGTCGGGACCGAGAACATTCTTGTGCTTCCTGGGTCAGTCTAATAGGGATCTCTCTCTGTCTCTCTCTCTCTCTCTCTCTCTCTCTCTCTCTGTCTCTCTCTCTCTCTCTCCTTGGATTTATGTGTCTGGGTCATGTTTCCAGTGTAAATTTTCTGGGGTTAGATTTCAAACCAGGGTTCAGAGACATTTCCTGTTGATGAAGGAAAGTGAAAAACTTCAGGAAAAGCCTTGGGAACAAGAATATTTGTATAAAACAGGAACAGAGGCAAGGATATTGGCCAGGGCCCAGGCATTTCAGCTTAGCCAGGAGGCCGAAAATGGCCATCTGCAGCTGGGGAGTTGAATTGTCTTCCGTACACTCGCCTGTCAGAGCCACAGAGTTGTACGTGGGCTCTCGGAAAGGCTGAGGGGCTGACACACTGGGTGCTGGCCGGCTCCCGACACAGTTGTACGTGGGCTCTCGGAAAGGCCGAGGGGCTGACACACTGGGTGCTGGCCGGCTCCCATTTGAGAGCAGCAGTGTGGCTCCGTGATCAACCTCGGAGGTGAGAATCGCCTGTATCTAGTGACCAGCCGTTAAGTGTCCATCAGTGCCATAAACACTCCTGGTTTCCGTGACGGCTGATATTGATGGATCCTGATGGGATCCAGAATCACCCAGGGGACAAAACTTTAGGCATGTCTGTGTGGAAATTTCCGGCAATAATTGCGGTGTGAAGATTCACCCTGGCTGCAGGTGTCGCCGTCTTGGGGGCGGGAGTTGTAGCTTGAATAAAATGGAGGAAGGGAGCTCAGCACCAGCGTTCGTCTCCTTGCTTCCTGATGGTGCGATGAGACCCCTCGCTCCTGCCACCATGCCTTCTCTGCCTTGGCGGACTGTACTCTCAAATCGTGAGCCAAAATGAACCCTGCCCTCCTGGGATTTCCTTTGTTAGCATCGAGGAAAGTAACCTACTGTCACAGCCAGACAACTTGTACCCAGCAATCTTCCATGAGAGGGACAGCTAGTCACTCCAGACGGCCCACTTTTGCTGAGCCCGAGTCGAGTCTCTGCCCTGCGAGTCAGTTTTTGGTCCTTAGTCTTCATCCCGGCAGGACAGGCACAGGGATGCATTCATGTCTCCATGTCCCCATCACACCTCTCAAGCGGCATGGTGCCCGCCTTTCCCAGGTGGCACCCTTCTGACGTCAAGTTAGTAGCTGCGCACACAAGCCTTCCCTTCCAAAAGAGAGAGTCACCAAATCACCTCAAGCCCCAGCAGAGGGTAAAGTGGCCCCCATAGGCTCTGCTCAGTGCTCAGGGCTCTTCCGGACGCAGCTTGCAGAACTCAGCTTGTACAAGGTCGGGGTGGATTATCCCTCCTCGCACTGTCTCCTTTCCAGGACCATTTCCAGGACCATTTCCTCTGCTCCCCCTTCCTTCTCCATCAGTGTGAGAACCCAACTCTGTGTATGGAGCTGCCAAAAATAGATCTGCTTTCATAGGGATGAAGGAAGGGGGGGCATTCCAGAAAGAGGCAGTCTGGTTAAGAAGGAGGTTAAGATGCCTCCTAGCTCCTCACAGAAGCCCTGAACATCATGGCTTCAGCCTTCAGGGACCATCCAGAGATGGACCACCAGGACATGGTCGTTCACACCCATGGCTCTGTGCCCCGCGCTGTTCCCCCACCCTGTTCCCCCATGCTGTTCCCAGGAGTATCATCATGGCAAGGGTCACGGCCTCGGCTCACACTCCCCAGTCCACAGGAAGACTCCAGCAACAAACGTGTGACCCATCCAGGGGTCAGATCTTATTTTTAGACTGGAAAAAGAAGGCGGTGTGGTGGCTGGTCAGGTTGCTAGGCTGTGTAGCCCTGGAACAGGCTCCTCCCAGAGCAGAGTCTCTGAATGGGGAGGACAAGGGGCGGGGCTGCACCCTGTGGAGTCTGAGGGGAGAATCAGACAGTGGGAGGTACAGGCACGGTATTCTTGTCTTCAGTGAAATAAAAATGGCCCCACAAGCCGGGCATGGTGGCTCATCCCTGTGACATCAGTACTTGGCTGATCAGGAGGCTTGGGATAGATGTCGCATGGTTTGTCCAGAGGCACAGGGACCATCTTCCAGGGCAGTGCAAACTCTCTTTGGTAGCTTATGCTTTGACCCTTTGTAGTTCTGCTTTGATTCTTCAAGCAGTTCACAGGACCAGGTGGGTTTAAAGAAGGCCGCCTCATTCGGCTAGCCTTGGCTCACTCACTCACTCCTTCATGAGGTCTTTACATCAGAGCCCCTGTGTGGCAGGCTCTGGAAGGCACTGGGTGCAGCAACCCAGCTGAGTCAGGGTCCCAGGTTGCTCATGGGGCCCAGCAGCTCATAGTTTGGAAGTCAGAGGATGCATGTGGCATGGTTGCTCTGCAGTGTCTTCAGGAAGAGGTCCAGGAGGAACGGGAGAGCAGCACTTGGTGTCTCTCCTCTACACCCCTCTGTCTTTTTTATACAGCCTGAGTGCTGAGAGCCCAGTCCCTGTCATTTCCATGGGACCTGCATGATGGGGAGTTATGTGGTGCAGACCTGGGTGCAGATGGCATGAACAGGTGTCGCGGGGATGCAAAAACTCCCCACAGCCACAGTTGCTCTGCAGGGCAGCCTGGAAAAGTCACCAGTGTTGACAGAGGCTTCTGTCCTGCCCAGTCCTGCAGTCATTCAGTCCCAAAGAAACACACAGAGGCCTACTTTAATTATAAACTCATTGGCCTATTATCCAATTCTTATATCTTAAATTAGCCCTAATTCTTGTCTATGTTAGCCATGTGGCTTGGTACCTTTATCAGTGAGCCATTCTCATCTTGCTTCCTCTGGGCTGAGTGACAACTGCAGACTGACTCTTTCCTCTTCCCAGAATTCTCCTGTTCTGGTTTTCCCACCTATACTTCCTGCCTGACTACTGACCAATCATCATTTTATTAAAGCAATACAGTAACAAATCTTTACAGGGTACAAGACCATTGTCCCACAGCATAGCAGTCAGTAGAGAAACTGCATCCCAGCTAGATGTGGTTGATAGAGCATGGGACCCTTAATCCCAGAACATGGATCCAAGTCCCACATTGGGCGCCACTTGTTAAGAAAAACCCATATAAAGGGTATCAAGGATTTCTTGAGCTATAAACAGGGAAAATACACTCACAAATACAGGATATGCTAAGTCCAGTCACTGAGCCCCTGGAAAGCCAGAGACCAGTCACACACTGCTTCATGCCCTCTGACCCGGTCTTCACCACCCAAGAGAGAGCGACACCCCCTTCCTTATAAGAGTTTATGTGGACAGACAAAAAACACCACCTCTATCATGTCAAGATCATGGGCAGAGCAAATACCCACTACAGCCCAATCCTGCAAAGGTAAAATTTTGTGGGTCAGCTTGACTGGGTCAGAGCTTTCCCAGATGTTTGGTTAAATGATGCTCTTGGTGTTCCTGTGAGGGTATTTGAGTGTCTTCATTTAGCTGTTCGGGGTAAAGCAGATACCTGTGTAACATGGATGGGCCTCCTCTAGTCCACTGAAGACTGAACAGGCCAAAGAGCTGACCCTTCCCCAAGAGAGAAGAAATCCCTCCCACCTGCCTGTTTGTTGCTTTTCTTTCCTTTGGATTCAGATGGAAACATCAGCCCTTCTGGGTTCTTAAACCTGTGTCCTTTGGGCAGGAGCTACTCAGCTACATCTCCTGGGTCTCCAGCTGGAGATCCTGGGACTGGTCAGGCTTTGTAATCATGAACCAGATCCTTATACGAAATCTCCTGCTGTGTGTCTGAGTATCCAGCATGTATTGTTTCCCCAGAGAGCCCTGGTTAATACAGACACGAGCAAATCCCGAGTTCTGAGCCCAGTGTCTTCTGAGGATGCTCTCAGCGTATCCATCTCCACGAAACGTCTTTCCTCAGATGGGTGTTTGCCTCCTCCATGGTGGCTTCCTGCCAGCCCTCCCCCAGGAGTGACTTCAGAATGAAGCAGAACTGTGTGCCCCCAGAATAGTAAGAAAGCTTGACGTGCTATTCTGCTTGGGTGGGAAGCATGGGGGGCGTCCTTCAGTCTTTCAGGAGATTTTCTGAGTACAGGTACATTCACCTGCCAGAGAGAGCAGAGCTGCAGTGGTCTCAGCATAGCATCCTTTAGGCTGGACCAGGTCCAGAGCCTCTGCTGAGTCAGGGCCCATAAGGGCTGCAGAGCTGTGTACAGAGATCTGCTTCATCTGGAGACCCTCCCTGGGTCTGCCTGGCCTCAGTCCTGGGTGAAAGAATCTGCCAAATCTCCATCTCTTAGGATTCACACACTCAGGACGGCTACGGATCCTTGAAGAGCAGACAGTGGAAAGATGGCAGCAGAGGGCCAGGCGAGGTCTTCAGGAAAGACCTTGAACAGAAGCGGGGGCAGGGGAGGGGAGCACTGCACTACTGAATCTCAGGAGATCAGGGACAGGGAGTCGTCCAGTTTTTAGAGGCATTTTGCAAAAAAGCATGTAACTCTGGTGTGTGAAGCCTGTTAAGTAAACAACGCCCCCATGTATGTTGGCCTCATTTAATACAGAGACACAGCCTGTAACTGCCTCCCTGCATGAACAGTCTGCATAGACAGAAAAATAATCCTATCAGGAGAAACTGAAGTGCACGAAGCCCAGCTGGGGTGGCTGGAGCTCGCTGACAGTCCGGTAGAACGCGTAGCTGGCCTGGCCATTTTTCTCACCTGTCCACACGCTTTCTTGGCAGATTTTCCTGGCAGGTTGCAAGGGCTGAGGAGCTGAGTGGTCAGGGTAAAGAGTTGCTTCTGTGAGCTCCTCGGAGAGCGGTTTTGTCGCCTACACCTCCCTCCTGAATGGGTCTTAGGATTTTAGGAAAGCTTTAACATTTAAGCTTCC